GCGTTTGTGATGCGGTCGGACCGTATACATGATGTCGCAGAGGTGCGAAAGCTCCGCCAAGAGAGTAAGGGACTATCTCTCAAACGTATACCGCCTCGTTGGGGAAAGACTGCAGTCTTTTAAAGTTTAAAGTATTAGTCCGAGACAACCGTCGGGGGCAAAAATCCTAAACCCATACCTCCTTTTCCTCTCTCCCAACACAAAAAGACCTGGTGAACCACTCAAGGGGAACTGTGTGGCCCGTGGTGTATAAGTATTTTCCTTGCACGTTTTCACCGTAAAACGTACTATCCAGGGAAATGATTTTATTTTTTTACTTTTGCAGATCGAAAAAGACCAAAGGGTTCCTGAAAATTCATAAAGTCGGTTAGGTTGGTGAAACCTATATAATTTTTTAGTTAGTAGAGTGTCAGACACGATTCGAAATGTGACGATACACTGCGACTCTCCTTTATGGTCTTGCCGTGGATAACAAATGATCATTCTCAGGTAAAGTGAGTACCGCACATACCTCCACACGCAGACACGTCGGTCGTTTCGATGTGTTCGACAATATACGCTCCTCCGGACGGTACACGACACAAACAACACACAGAAGACCTTATTCGGTAGACGCCTCGAGCAGACCCTAAACTCGATGTACGGTTTGTTGCAGTACTATTGTGTTTCGTTGTGGTACGGACGATTCCACACGTGCTCGACACACCACACAGACAGCATTACTTTCATCATCATTAAAACAAAAAAAAAACGCCCTTAATTTTTCACGACGAAACCATCTTAATCAATTTCTCGTACGTTTATAAACAAATATAACTACAGACTTTATCGACCGAATTTTTGGTGTTCAAATTTCTCTAAAAATGTAAAATCAAATGCTGTGTTTTATTCAGTCATTACTTCAGCATTTATGGTAATGAGCGGACTTATTCCTTCGGAAGATACACATTTTCACCGACTACGGGATTATTCAACTGAATAAAACCTGATGATTTACAGTTGCCTGCTAATTGTAATCAGCGGAAATCGTATAAAGGTCGGTTAAGTATTTACATCAACGGGACTTATTGCATTAAAGCAATGTCACAGAATCAGCCCTTGCAAAAACAGGGCTGGAATAGAGCAAATAGAGCGAAATGAGGCATGGCTAAAATGCATGATCTGTTTGGTATTTTGAAAAAAAAAAATCACAGACATGTTTTATATAGGTATGGCCCTACAATATATGTTTCAAATATAGCATGATAGGTCCACTTTAACTTAATGAGGACACAAACCCTGTTAATGTGCGCCATTTGGTGAAACGTTGTTTTGAAAGATAAAATGTAAAACAGCATATGGTGAGTTATTTTTTTGCACACTCTCCTCAACACTCTCTCAATTCTTTTTTTGTATTGAACATGCTTTATTGGCATAACAAATGATAATCGACTACTGATGCATAGATAAGTACTAAATAACATGCAGTACAATAAGATGATGAGTACATCTTCAACTTGAAGTTGTACTAAATACATCCTGAACAGTTATGTAGTGTTGTGTAGCTGAATTTAGGAATTGTGGTTCTGCTAAACACTGTTTTAGCCATTAATTAGCTAGCTAATAAGCATACAGCTGGCTGGCTAGCTAGCTAGCTAGCTTGCTAATGATTAAGCAAACAAAGATGTAACTGTAGTGGCGGCAGCAATGTGCTCTCCTACACAGGGACAAGAGTATGTGGATGAAGCATCAAGTTGTTTTTATTGGTTCTTTTTTTGTAATTAACTCTGGGGCTGTTTGATTCCTAGTGAGTCTACAACAAACTGCATATTGGTCTATACAGAAGTAAGCCATTTGCAATAGAGTGCTGCCAAAGAGATGTTTTGGAAAGACAACTTCTGAAAGGCAATCAACTGGAAATTACAACTTGTGTATGTCTCTCTTTTTCCCTTAAGTTGGAGCGCTAAGTTGTACCTGACTCCCAGCAACAGCGTGTTGCTGACGGCCATCGCACTGATCGGAGTGTGCGTCTTCATCCTTGTCATTATTGGCATCCTCCACTGGAAAGAGAAGGTCAGGATAGACACACACACACACACCCACACACACACACACACACACACACTCACTCACACAATGGTGTACTAAACGTTGGCCTCTACCTGGTGATTTACTGCTTCAGAGTGTGACTGTGAGAATTTGTGTGTGAGAGAGAGAGAGAGAGCAGATTGGTCACTACCAGCAGCAGATGGGTCTCACTGTCTCTGTCCTGTAGTCCCCTCGCCTCCTGCCAACACACACACACACACACACACACACACACACACACACACACACACACACACACACTTTCTTCCTCTTCCTCTCTCTGTCTGTCTCTCTCTCCCTGGGCTACAACCTGGAAGGACGTTCGGCTGTAATTGCCTGCTTCTGTCCTTTCAGCATGGCGGATCTCATTATAGCCATAAATATGCCCTCCAGGGAGTCAATGCATGTTTTCAAGTGTTTCTGCTTCCTCTGGGTTCTTGTTTCAGTCACACACACACTTGCAATGTTTTCAAGTGTTTCTGCTTCCTCTGGGTTCTTGTTTCAGTCACACACACACTTGCAATGTACATTACATGTCACATACCATGGTCGAGGACACACACATTACAGTAATTTCCGCAGATTCACTTTTTTGGGAGGATCTTTTGGAATGCTTTTCCTTTTTCATCTACACACTGTGGTAACGCTGTCGCCGGGCGGGCGGTGCTGGAAGTTGCTGGCATCTTCTCCAAGCCATCTGCTCCGGGACTGTGTGCGTTTAATGTGCACCCGCATGTGTGTGTGCATGGTTACACACACAGACGGGCTCTAATTGCCCTCTTTTTGGGATACGGGGGCGTGAGCATCAGCTTTATCTGAACCGACGCTGCATTTAAAAAAAGAGAGCGGTTGGTGCCTCAACTGCGTAGACATACACCTATCAGATTATCAGAGGTGGATGGGAGGAAGTAAAGTGGCAGTGAGAGAAAGTGTGTCTCGCTCTTGTTTCTCAATTTGAGAATTGAGAAACAAGAGTGAGAGGAAGAAAAAGGAAAATGCTAATATAGATGAAGAAAAACGGCTGGCTGGGCACTTCACAGGAAATACAAGCTGGCATGTTCACACAGGCAGAATGATGGTTTGAAGCCATGAAGAACAAAATGTATTTGACTTTGATCACAGTAATGTGTTTGGACTGACCAATCAAAGTCATCAAAAATAGCTGCCTTGTTTACTAGTTCCCCCATAGGGATGCAGAGTAGGGATATATAGTATCAGAAATGTGCAATATCTCAATTGGAGAAGGCCCAACGTTGGTTTAATTTGGTTTAACGATAAGCATCATAAATATATTCATAATCACAAAGAACATTATGATAACACATTATAAAACGTTTGATATTGACCTTAATAATAATTGCTATTTTTGATAAGATCATGGTGTATTATAATTCCCATAGTGGTTATTCGTATAATCTTTTTTTAAATGCATTGTGTAATGCATTTCCTGAAGTCCAGGCAGATATGATATCAAACTGGTAATAAGTGACTATAAGTGAACAATGTTTTCATAAAGTCAAGTTAAAAAAGTGTTATTAATTCTAAAATGTATTTTATAAGTATTACTATAATGGTAATAACGACTTAGGTTAGCATTTAATCCACAATGCTAATGCTCTCCTGAGCTTGTTTATTTAGTGTCACTGTATCTAACCTCAGCAGTGTTGTGTGTCTATAACTGCAGTATTTCTCTCTCAGCAGCTCTGAGTTCAGTCTGACAGCTTTTACAAACTCAGCACATTTGATTTGATTTGGAATCCCCGGCCGGCAAACTGAAAGACACACATCCGGCACAATGAGCTAACGCGGTGTAACCTTCTGCACCGTTGGGGGAATTGAGATGGAGGGTGAATCCTGTACCAGACGCTAACACCCCTTTCATATCTCATCTTCTTGCACTTACTTTACGGCGGGACATGCATTAAGGTCAGGGCGAGCCCACTGATAGACATTTGGCATTTGTGAGTGTTTGCACCGCCGCCTCTGGTATTTGCTCTTCTAATAACAAAGTCAGGTAGAGGGCACAAGCATGGGGGCAAAGAAGTGCTGTCCTGCCTAACAAGCTAACGTGGCTTTAACACAACTCCTGTGAACTTCTGTAAAATAGAATAGCATGGTACAGGAATAAGTCTTAATGCCTGGGAATGACTGATGCTGCATTCACCTGATACGTGACTTGCTCTTTGCTCACCAGGGGGTTGGGCCCACAGTCTTGCGGTGAAAAAAAAAGAAGCAAATGACCTCACCTGCTAGCTTGCTGCGCTACATTCAGCAGTCCTCTGATTGGTTTGGTCGTCGAAAGATCAGTGTTGAACGGGGTCACAGTTGAAGTAATCTGAACTTTGAGCGCTGGGCTACAAATTTAGCGACAAACTTGGCTAATTTATCTTTAGCACTTTCGGTTCCCTCATTTTAATGGCAATTTTTTTTTTATGACTGACATGTTTTATGTTTTTTTCTACCACATCAAATCCATCAAAAAGCAACAAAATAACAGCCGTCTTTAGCTTAGCGCTGGAGACGCGGAGACATTCAACAGTGATGGCTTTTTTTTAAAGCCTATCATTAGGCTTTAAAAATCATAAAAGTAGTGTTAATATGTGGAGATCCATCCAATGGAAACATCACATTCACAACAAAAAATATGAAGCAAATTGGAAGATTCATCATCTTCATGCAGGACATGTAGGCCAGTCTTAATGAGTTGACATTAGAGCCCAGTGAGACTACACAACACCTCATAGAGGTGTTTACCTGCTTCCAGACGCACCACTGTGTCATTAAAAACCTTCAGATGGACACAAATCAATGCTCCGCTGCTTAACGATGAGCCTCAGAAGGACAAAGTGGTGGTATCCCCTGGATATTCAATTAGAGCAGACTCCACGAGCAGCCCAGCCCAGGGGCTCCAGGGGAGAGAACATCTCATCAACCCATCTGCTCCTTACTGATATGTTGGCCCTTAAAAAAGGCAGCAACAAAAAAAGCACAACATCACTCCATGTGAGGCGCTGGTGGTTTCTTGGAAGGTGGATGAAGGCTTTATCACAAATCAGAACTGACTGTTGCTGACCATCTTTCAGTCAGCAGCAACTTGGTGAACATGCGTAGAAGTTGGCTGTCCTTTAAAATGGGAAGATCTTCTTCAAAAGTCTCTCTAATATACGGAGATTGGTTCTTTCTGCACTGCAACGCAAAATTTCAAGTGTTTAGGAGTTGTTCCATTCCGATACTTTGAAAATGAATTCCCATTTTATCCCCTTCCTCAGTTTATCGCTTATCTCACATAATTCATCTAAATGCTTTATTCACTCAGATTAGAAGGGGTTAGGGTTGGGTTTAGTGTTAGGTTGGGCTCCCTTGGTCCACCTTGTTTGGACCACACCTATGTCTGGACTAAATGTTCGTTTTCATCTCAACCACGCATCTGTTAAGTTGTTAACATATCTTTCACGGATGCGAAGCTTTCTTGTGAAAACATCCATTCACTGACAGAACTATAAACCATAGCTAATGAATGTAAGCCTCCCCTATGGTGCTTCCTGCTACAGTAGGAGTCTGCAGCAGCGCAATGACACATCCCACTGAACAGATCTGTAATGAGATCTAAATCAGGCTTCAGTCTGTGGATGTGTGTGGGACAGGGGGAGGAGCCACTCAGGCCTGATTTGGCCTTGGGGCTGTTTTTATCGCAAAATTGCACTCAAACATTCTTGAAAAAAAAACGATTTGTTTTGGTGACATTTCTCACATGTCGGCTTGTTCTAAGTATTTACCCCGCCTCCAGTCATCACACCTGCCATGTGTGTGAATCTCAGACGATTACAGTCTGTTGGCCATAAATAAACGGATTCACCAATTATAAAGGAAACCGTATTCATAGAATGCACTCTGTTGTGTTTGGAGATGGTTTATTACTATTTTCCATGTTTTATGTAATTGCTTCCCAGAAAGTAGGATTTGGATTTGTCAAGATAATGATATTTGTATGTTTGACCTGTGGCACTGTAATTTAATTGTAAAGGTTAATTTATATTCAAACCAAAAACTTCTCATATGTGATTATTAGACTGCATAGTACTTCTTTATTGCTTGCTCAGTCCCAAAAGGCTTTTTTCTCCTTTTGAAACAATGAATGTGTAGTTGTTGTTACAAAACAAGAGACTTAATACTCTACCAGTGGGTACATTTAGATGAACTGCTTCCATGTTTAATCAGTGAATGCAACAGAAAAGCGGTTTATTTTGGAACATGGAATTTATTTTGGTCTAATTTTCTTCAGTTATTTGCAAAATGGTGGTCATTTTATATTAGTCTTGTTTTATTCAGTAACATTTTAAATTGTGTCTTTGTGTTTAACAATTGGTTAAAGTATTATGCAATGTTGTATAAATGAATGCAAACGTTTCCCCTAAATTACGAGATAAGATAGTTAAATGTAACGAGCATGATGTAACTGATTGTTATTCCTAAATCAACAATCTTTGACTATACTTCTTCTATGTATGTGCTTTCAGAAAGCGGACGACCGAGAGAAGAGACAGGAAGCCCACCGTTTCCATTTTGATGCCATGTGAAGGAAGAGAACTGCATTATGGGAGAACATCCTCTCCCGTCCTCTGCCTCACGGTCCTCCCCCCTTAACACCACATTTTCTCTGTTTCATTTCTCGGGCCAATAAATGGATCCTCATTTGCCTCAAAACGGTTCTATTTGATATTTTTCAGCTCCTCAGATGTGAAATATTTATGTTGCGTGTCATTTATTCATTCCAGTGTTAGATGTACAGGAGCTGCAACAATGCCATGGAGACACTCCTAATAGGGATCCCTCGTCATGGTGTAAGTAGATTTTAACAAAACGTTGCAGATTAAACGCCCAACAAGTTATGTTGCATTCACTGGAAGGGAAGCATCTTTGGCACTGAGTGTTAAAAGATATCATTTTACTTGAAATCCATGTGCGTGCTACTGTAAATTCTCTTTGTCTAGTTGATTTACCTCTGTCCTTTTCATTCGTATGAGGTATAATAAAGACATTCTTCCGATTTTGTCACCTGTGAAATTAAACTGAATCTCCGCCTTGCAACCGCGACGGCAACCTGTGCAAAGAAGTGAACAAAAAGACAGACTTGTGCAATGTCATGATTCCTGTGGGACGTTTTTTTCTGCTACCAATCTCACAAAAAACATGAACTACCAGCAGGTCCGCTGAGAGCAAATCACAGTGCATCATGGGAGTGCCAACAAAAATAGTTTATTTCTAATGCTACTGCACTGAGCTTGGCAAAAAGTAACTCCAGCTTGCTTGAGATGTACTTTTAATTGTTTTTGTCTTTTTATGGTTAATCAAGCCAAGCGCTTTAGTTTGCTCTGATATTAATTTCACAAGAATAACTTTCCAATTGGCACATTTGAACTGCTGTGATTAACTGCGGGTGTTTGTAATTTATTTTGTTTTTTGATTTGCTCATGAATGTTCAAGCTACTAAATGTGTTTACTTACTGAAGTCGGTAATAAAGGTTCGACCTGCCTAAGTCAACTCTGGGTTGCTTTATTTGTGTATCATTAGACTTTATGTCTGTTTCATGGTCCTCTCTTTTTAAAGCTACTTGTGGAATTAGTCCCAAACGCATAGTTCACCTTTCTGGGGAACATTTTATTTAGATTATTTAGTTGTTTGGAACCTGGAGGGAAATTTACACTCAAAATAATCATCTTTGTATGTTCTCATTATCTAAATGTGTAGTGAGTTGAAACAGCAGTGAAATTAAAGTGCCTTTAATTTATCAGAGGACTCCTGCAGGCCTCTTTGAGCGCCCTCGAGGGCCCCGCAGGCCCTCCACTTCAGGAACCACCCTGCTAAATAATGCATGGAGAGAGCAAACCTTCCCTTCAAGGCAACGAGAGTAAAAGAGTCTCCATCTTGGTAGCCTTTAAGCACATCACAAGACGTGATTCAAAGCATGGGGGCGAACATACAGTACTGATAGTCAATAGGTGTGTGTGTGTGTGTGTGTGTGTGTGTGTGTGTGTGTGTGTGTGTGTGTGTGTGTGTGTGTGTGTGTGTGTGTGTGTGTGTGTGGACAAATACAGTGAGAGTGAAAGGAACGAGGAGGTGGTGCACGCTACAGGCTGTGTGAAGCTGTACAGAGAGAGATAGATTAAAACCGGAAACAAGCTGTTTCAGCTTCAAAAACAAAAGCATGGAAATAAAAAAAGTAGAAAAACATTTTGCTGAGAGTTTTAGACGTCTAATTTAATGCAATGCATGATTTGGACACTGCTAGAACACCGCTAAAGACAAAGGTTTTAAGGATTTTATAGATGCTGATTTATTACAGGCTGCCAGTAAATCAGAATTGTCCAATTGCTTGTGATCTGCAAAGGCTTTTTATTCCATGTACATTATCTGAGACCTTAATTCGTCAATGCTAAACACGAGCTAGGAAGTTTGGTAGCAATAACTGGCCAAAATAAATCTGTACTAATAATGCACATTTCTTCATTTGCAACCTGACCATTGTTCCCTTTTATATAAACCATTCATATTTCAATTATACATCCCCCAATAATAAGCCCATGACGTAAATCAAAATGGTGTTGTTGTGTGAGATTCCTTTGAATAATTGCAATCTCTCTTAACTCAATGTTTAAATGTTTTAGTTCGCCAGTGCCGTTTTATCTTTGAAAGGCATGACCGGAAATTGAGTCTGTGTTGCTTCTACTTTGACGATGCTCGTGACAAGCCACTCATTGATTTAAGCAGCGCCCACGGCTTAAATGAGCCTCGCTCAGGATCGTTTCTTAGTTCAGACACGGACGGAGAGCAGACAGAGACAGTCTCTTCTCCTCCCCTTCTTCCTCCTCCGTACTCTTCCTCATCTTTCTTCTGTGTCTCTCCATCCATATGCGTCTTTTGGATACGTCTAGAGCGCGTCAGTCCGCCTGGATCAGTCCATTTTCCCTCCACATGTCCTCTCCACTATAGTCCCACTGGACGCTGTTTTTAAGGTGATGATGATGCCTGGCTAAAAGGCTCGCAGCAGTCTTCGTCCTCCAGCCAAACGCAGCGGGAGCGCCGCCTGAAGAAGAGCTTGGTGCTACTGCCTTCCTCTCTTGGAGCGATCTGCGTAAATGGATTTATGTTTGTCGAAGAAAAGTTGGATTTTGTAAAGAGCCCCGTGGACACGTAACATGGACAGATTCGGAGTGCGTTTGTAGAATCGGTGCTTTTGTGTTGGAATCACACCGGGAGAGGAGATGCACAGAGGTGAGTTGGAGCCGAGAGAATCCGACATGCGCGTCCTGGTCCAGGGTGCGCGTTGGGCAGGAATATTCCACAGTTAATTATAAACTATAATTGAATGTACTTGTTTTTTGTTTTGTTTTTCACCACAAGAGATGGTTTGTTTTTAGGATTTCAACCATGCAATTAGAGTGGCATGAAATAATAAAATATTGAATATCGATTAGTTTAATCTATCGTAAAAAAGAGACCGCTAATGCAATAGATACCTTGGGAAACATTGCATCTCTCTTTGCTATATCTTTATTTCTCTGTATTTGATGTGTCTTTTATATCAACTTGCCATCTTGTGACTTGTGTTTCAATCTTGCTGTGTTATTGCCCACATAACTGATTGCAATTGCCACAAACCTAAGTGCTATTCAAGATCCAGCATGTTGGTGCCTCACACATTTCTACGATTCAGCAGAAGCCAGCCAGGTTCTTCTGAGTTTGGTCGGTTTGAACCGCCTAGATCGACGTTAATGTGAAAATAAACTGAACTACTGTAACATCAAATGGTTCCTTTAACATATCATGATTCCACAGTTGCTTTTGAGAATTTCATCAAATTAAAAAGGATACGTTATTGTAATGTAAGGCTCCTATATGCTGGACCAGTTGAGCGTAATGTAATAATGGAGCAGAACCAGTGCAGCCAGTTTGAGGCTCTGAGGTGTGCCTCTGCCGGGCTACGTGAGTGCAATGCGATTCTGATTTATGATAACGCACAGAAAAAGGGCCAATCTATTTGAAACCCATCAGGGAGCATTAAGTGTTTCCTAGCGGACACTTTGACCGTCTACATTTATCTCACTGACATAAAAACATGTTGTCCATCACACTATTCTACCCCCAAAAAGTGGTCACAGACAGAAGCACGTTTGCAGGTTTTGGTTTTAAAAAGGTGCCAATTCTTTCTTTAAGAATAGTTGTTATAGTTAATCAAACCAAGCGCGTTGGTTTGTTCTGATATTTATTTCACAAGAATACATTTATCTCACTGACATAGTTTGTCATGTGTATAAAATTGATATCAGATGCTAGGGTGGACTGGCTGGTTGCAATACTTTTTTAATTCCTCTCATCTACTCGGAGACTATCTAGAACCATCAATTTGTTATATACTTACATATGTTCTCTAATTAGCCATTCCATTTAAATATGATGTTGTCTAAAATATAGGAAAGGAGCAAAGTCAGATGTTGCAACAGACCCTGAGACAGTTGCAATACACATCATGGACTGTTGAAACGTGTAAAATAGGCCTACTTCTAAATACACTATTCATCCTCTGCTGCGATCTGCGCCATAAAGTGCCACTATTTCAAAGTGTTTTAGTTAAGTGTCTGATTTTCCACATTTTAGTTTTTTTAAACTGCACTTTCATGTTTGGAATGTTCTAGAACTTTTTACGTTGCTTTTATTGTTGGTAAAACTAACACATTTTCATCGCAAATGACAAACGAGGCAAACAAGATCAAATAGCTAGTTTTCAATAGTTATATTTACAGTACAACAATCAGCATAGTTTATTTAAAAGACAATGGAGACCAGTGATTAACACAGGTTATTGATCTGACACAATGAAGCAAGAGGATTATACTTTTCCTCTTAGCATTGCTTTGGTATGGCTCTACTCTTTACTGACTGGTTACATAAATTATAAGCTTATTGGTTATGCAAAACATAATGAGGGTCTCACTCTTATCATCATGAAACATTTTGAAACAGTGACATTTTGTGGCCCTTTTGGCTCTCTCCATACCTCCGACTCCCGCCACTGCCTCGCGCCATCAACAACTGAGACGCTCAGCGTCAGTGAAGCTTCTTGAATCTTTGTTGCTAGCCGTTTTTTACCGGTAGCTAGCCATTAAAGTAAACAGGTAGGCTAGCCGTAAAAGTAAACAAGTAGGCTACATTATGTTAATTGTATGTTCGTAGGCAGTTCACCACCACATGTAGAAATCAGAAGTTGTATCCTAGAGAGGCTATAATTAGCTCCTAAGCGACCACAGGCACATAGCCTGTCACCTGTCATTCCACAATGGCGTCATTCTTAGCTCTTAGCTTTACTCTAGCCCCATTATTATGTAGCCTGTTTGTAGGAGTTAGCCTTTTCATGGAGGCCACACTTTCTAATTTGGACAGGATACAACAGAACCCCACATTATCAGGAATTTAATATCCCAATCCCTCCTCCGTCCGTCCTGTGTTACAGAAGGCTGGTGGCCTATGTGTTGCTTTATTTTTCAAGTCCTTGTCACATGTAAAAGTAGAAGATTATCACCGGATTTTGGCTTTGTTTTTAAGCAAAATTAAATACCATGACCCAGAATAGCAGGGCAGTTTTTCTTTTTCAAAATGAGCAGAGGCCAGATAAAAACGTCGTTTTTGTTGACTTTTAATGTGAGGAATATTTGTTTTAAGGACTTTACTTAACTTCCGGAGGCAGGACAGCAGATAGAAAGAGTTATGCCTGTTGGATGACCTGTATAGTAAACCACTTCATCATCTAATGTTATACATACACACTTTCAAAAGAGGGTTTGTGTTGAAGTAACTCTGTTTAGCTTGTAATTTATTTAGAATATTACAAAAGCTGTTACCAAACCTACATAAATTATGCAACTTTTGCCTAATAATTTATTTTAAATATTTATGCTTGATGATACACATTCCTACCTCTGTAGCTCCAGGCATGTTTTTGTACAATAACTGTTCAACAAAACTGTTGTTTATTATTAACCCATATCATTTGAAATGATCAAAGATACCTAGTTTTTTTTTCGAGGGCTACATCATACAGCGTCCCTGCTATCTACACAATTTAATGAGTTTATTATAATCTGGAAAAAATCCTCAGTAAGAGCCCAGAGCACATCTCTGTTTTACGCTTCTTGAGTGAGTTTGGGTGGTCTGCTCTCTAAATATTGTGCCTGTGGTAGTTTAAACTCCCACGTACGATACACCAAGATAATGGAAATAGAACTAATGAGGAAGCCGTAGCCTGGGGGCTATGTGTGTGCGTTTCAAAACGAGTCCATTCAAACATGCATTTGCTCGGTAGTATTCAACACCTATGTTAACCATGCATTCCTCTTCGTTAGACCCCCCGCTCTTACTCTATCTTTCCTGCTCTCTCGATCCCTCTCTCCTCCACCCTTCTTCCCTGGGTGCCATTATGCAACATACCACGCTCACGCTTGCTCCGTAATTCGATGTGAGCGGGCCAACCTATTATGAACTCAAAGGGGATCAGGTCTACGGTAGTTTATCAGAGCGAGGCAGCGTCCGGAGCTGTAACATGCCCCCCCCCCCTTTCAGTGCAGATATCGCTGTAATACAACATATTTAACCTATTGTCTTTAGCCGTGCTCAGCCCAAATGACTGCTGTAAACGTTGGAGCCTGTAATCCTGTGATTATGCTAATGTTGCTGCTGCCTAGAGGCTACAGATTAATAGATTGATGGTTTAAAACTATCTTGCTGCTGCTCATATTTTTACTGGTAGTATTATCGATATCCAATTCCACTGCAGAGCTACTCTACTACTTCTAATGCCGTCGCTTCTTTCATTATTCCATCTATGTGCCTCTAGTGCGACCATATTACTTATACGACAAATACTTTAACATTGCTGCTGAATTAAACTAAGGTACCCTAGACTAAACACATGCATTAAGTTAGAAAAACATCTAAAAAAACCACATCAGGTGTTTTACTTTATTAACTTTGAGGGTTTCCGTCTGTAGATTTCTACTAAATTCATAAAAAGTTTGTACTTGGTTGTAGTTAATGCCTCATTTGCATATTTCACCATACAATACATGTCTTTAAAGGCTATTTTCTCCAAATGTTTTTTTTATTATAATCTAAAACAAAAAACCTACACTGTAAACGTTCTAGTTTCATTGCTATCCAAAGTAAATACAGTGCCTTTAATCAGATAGTATTTCTAAAAACCTGCTGTAAATGGTTCTGTTTTTGATAGTGATAAACAGAGATATCCTAAATGCATTCCCAAAAGAAAACAATGATAACAATTCATGAATTATCGTCCAAGAAGAACATACTGTCTGGTGTCACCTCGAGCAAAATATGCTGAATATCACTGTTGACATTGGACACATAAAAAGCAGTTGTGGAAATCCAAATGTGTTACTTGAGTAAAAGTACTAATAATACCACACTGTAAAAATACTTAATTTCAAGGATAGGTACTGAATTGAGAATGGTACTTAAGTAAAAGTTAGGAAAATTAGGACAATTAACCTGAAGTATTCAAAGTAAACATACTCATTGCAGAAAAAACTCTTGCTTTACATATTTGAATAGCAAATCTTGACATTTAAGAAGCTGGAACTGGAAAATATTTATGAGCAAAAAACGTATTATTACTTAATTTTCTGTTAAACCACTCATGGTTTTAATATATGTTGGGTGGTTTAATCTATACCAAATATTTATATTAAAAAATGTTTCCTAAGTATTGGGTTTCAAAATCTGAAGTACAAGTACCTCAAATGTGTACTTAAGTACAGTACTTGGGTAAATATAGTTAGTTACTTTCTACCACTGATAAAAAGCATGTAATACATGCAGGTGTATGACAACCTACCTCACATGTTAACATCTTCTAGGCTATCTTTTGCAGTCTTGTAGCTCCATCATTTTTAAGAGGGTTCATCACTAACAGTCTCTGAAAATGTCCATCTTGTATTGGCAATATGATTATATCCTAGTATTAAAAACACATGCCTTCATATGATTATATTCCCACAGCCATCCTCCTCCTTTCTCAGCAACACATGTTTTAATTAAATCAGGGATTTACTCGAAATGTGTATTGATTTATATTTGCTCCAGTCCTTATTCATCAAGGTCAGGTTGCATCAATATTGCAGCTGTTCACACGTGTTGAAAGGATGTATCTTCTTTCTGATGTTGAACACAAGGACATAAATGCATTATTAGGTCACCTGTGGCTTATTTGTTGTATCTTTTTTTTTTTAACAGCGTGGATACTCTTCTTTCTGATAGAAGAGGGTTTTGCTCTGGCACAGCGAACTAAAGGTAAGCTCAAATTCTCTTCTCTTGCAAAAATGCTGTTATGAAAGTAAGCAGTGTAAAGCAGGAGTATTATTTCTATTCGCATCACAGGACAAAATGGTTTATTCTGTTCTGCCTTTTCCCCGTCTTTATTCCCTGCCTGTTTTTTCCTCCTTCTCACGCCAACCCTCTTCCCACTCTCCCTGCCTTCCAATCATTCGCTCATTGATCCCCTGACTCAATAACCCATCTGTGCGTCTGTTCTGCTTCAAGATCTCCCAAGCGACCATGGCGCCCAGACCCCCAACCAGAACGACTGCGGCACGTGGGTCCGCAACATCAACGGTGGGGTGTTCACGTCGCCAAACTACCCCACGACGTACCCACCCAACAAGGAGTGCGTTTACATCCTGGAAGGTAAAACACACGGCTCATTTTCATCTTCACTTCCTGCTCGATGCAGCTGTTTCCCGCCTCTCAGCCTTACTGCCTCCTTCAGTGAATGTCGTTAGTCTGACTGACATCGTTTTATATAACCTCGCCCCTATTCCATCTTCTGTTCCTTCGCTGGTGGACAATCAGCTTGACATTTTTCGAATGAGTTTGTTTCACCCCACAGATATAATCTCTCTGAAAATGATGGAGAGTGGCGCTGCATTGTGGGTAGCCCCCTGACTTTTGGCCTAATCAGAGTAGTGCTGCATTTATCCCCATTGGCAGTGTGTGCCAGAAAACTCTGCTATTGAATAAAAAAAGATGAACATCTGTTACACAACTGAGCTTTGGTTGCGTATCGCTGGAGCGTCCTTGTCAATGCTTTCCAGAAACATCCCATCCATCAGTAATTTAGTGGCCTGCCACACGGGAGACATAATGGAATCATTAACGGCTATAGGAGATGAGGTCGGGGGTTTTGGCTGATGTGTTTTCACACGAAATTGATGAACTGTTTGTCCATGAAGTTGATGTATAGCCTTTAATGAGATGTGTGTGCTACTCCTCTGGCTGTGGTGTGGAGTAGATTAACACATGGCTCGAGGGCTCCCCCTGTGGATAAATCAAGCCTACACCTATTGTTGACGAATAAACCTTCATCCCAGGCAGCCTACTGGTGTGTGCAAAAGAACACCACAGTGGGTCTGCACGTGACAGATGGAACCTATCATTTGGTCTTGAATGGCCTTACTCATATCCTTATCCGAGCTCCACTGTTGAGCTTATAATTCTGTTGTAGAGATGCTAACGTTTGGCACAAGTGCTAATCAGAAAGCTTTGTAGTCATAATGCGTGGTTAGTAAGACTCACCAATTATGTCAATGCATCGAGTGATTATCAAGCTGTGTGTGTGTGTGTGTGTGTGTGTGTGTGTGTGTGTGTGTGTGTGTGTGTGTGTGTGTGTGTGTGTGTGTGTGTGTGTGTGTGTGTGTGTGTGTGTGTGTGGTGTGTGTGTGTGTGTGTGTGTGGTGTGTGTGTGCTGTGTGGTGTGTGTGTGTGTGTTGTGTGTGTGTGTGTGTGCTGTGTGTGTGTGTGTGTGGTGTGTGTGTGTGTTGGTGTGTGTGTGTTACACAGAGAAGGAGGCTCAACACACCAGGGAAGTGGAACACACAGGAAGTGAAGGCACACAGCTTGCTCAACTGAAGCAGGAAGGGAAGGCTCAATTCAAAGAAGAGAACCAGAGACACAATCTCAGCAAGCACACTGCAGCGTACGCATGGTAGACCGCCCTTGACATCGCTCTCATTTTTGCCAATAGTCGTGGCATTTCAGCTTCTCCTGCCACAGATGATTCACAGCCCCCCCCCCCTCATCCTTACGTCTTTATTTAGTATGATTCATATCCAACGCAGGCCATGATTTCCCTCGCTTTAAACACTTCCTGTGAGCTCTGTCCATTGCAGTATGGGAGATATGCTGTGGATTTGTATGACGAGTGACTTTGAACAGTTCATGCTGTGGTTGCCATGTCTCGTTGATTCACCGACCTGAGAGATAAGCACTGCTGGCATCATCACGGCCCCTGTCTCTGTTTGTGTAGTGCTTCTGTAAGTGTGGGTGTGTGTATCTGGTGTGCATGCAACTGGTGTGTGCAATCCCTATATCGTTGGATATGGACCCTTTGAGTGTTACTTCTATGCTATCCGTAAAAGGATACAATAACGCAATTAACAATTACATGTTTCATTCCACTACCTGGAANATAAATCCTTATATGCTCCCGGCAACACACTGAACGTCAACTTTGCCTCCTTATTACACTCACCCCTACTTTAGTGGGAACGATGAGTCTGCGTCTTTGATGCACACAGGAATAAACGCAGATCATCCTCTGGCTGCAGCCTTGACCGGCACTTGCTTTTGATCAAAGTAAATTTGGAAAACCCGCACTCACACAGGTAGGTGGAGCCGTGAAGGGAATGAGCACTTTTACAGCCTTTTTGGCGAGTTGGGGGAACTCGGTCTCCACAGACAGCCAAAAGTGTGCAAGTGTCACATTACTCGTCTTTTTCTCGTAATTTTTTTTCTCACGCTGCGCCTCCCCTGAAGCTCTCTGGCGCCCCCCAGGGAGGCGTGCCTCACACTTTGAAAACCGCTGCTCTAACAGATAGATCAAATCAGTAATGTTACAAATTACTGGTTTGAGAGGGGCTTTACTTTCCTTCACGTCACTCTTGGCGAACTTCTGAAAAGTCAGTTGAGGGTTACGTAACAGCTCAAGTGTTCAACTTCAAAGTCCATATGAACTCATATTTGCCTCTTCATGCTTTTGATACTATCCAGATTGTTCTTTCTCCTGCAAAATACAAAATTAAATTTGTATTCCGGTAATGGATTTACCCCTATTGTTACCTTTCTTTTCCCCACTCCCTCGTTCCCCAAAGCTCTCCCCAGACAAAGGATCCAGCTGGCTTTTGATAAGAATTACTACATCGAGCCATCTTTCGAGTGCCGCTTCGACCACATCGAAATCCGGGATGGGCCATTTGGGTTCTCGCCCCTCATTGATCGCCTGTGTGGGGGAAAGAACCCGGGACTGGTCACATCGACGGGACGCTTCATGTGGATCAAGTTCACTAGCGACGAGGAGCTGGAAGGACTCGGATTCCGGATTAAATACACCTTCATCGCAGGTAGAGTCACTTAAACTGTGTCTCTGAAGGGGATGTTGTTGCACAGTACACTAAACTACATTTATTTGACAACCCACTTTTCAGATTGACATTTCACATTAAAAAAAACATGTGATAAACATTTAACTAAAGATTAAACCAGTGCAATAACTGTTTGAGAAATAAAATGGAAATATTAACCAATATATTTCTAAAAGTTAAGAAAGAAAGTCTTAGACATGAATAATTACCAGATCTTTGTTTTTGTCTATACAGTAAAATTCTGCTTGATGGAAGAATGACCACAATATAATAATGTGACATATAAACACATCAAATGATAAATCAGATATGGAGGGCATTTCTTCTGAAATTAGTACTTTTACTTTATATGCTGTAATTACATTTGCTGATAAAACTTTGACCTGAGTGATCCAATCTCTACCAGTCATGTGACACCCTTCTTCCCTGAAACATATTTTCTCTTGCTGAATACCAGTAAAGATGATTTAGCATGGGCTAGCTAGACATCCACAGGTTGCTAACGGGCCCTCCAACATCATAGCCTTCTTTCTTTACTCTTCTTGCTTTACAGCAGGCACACGTTCCACATCAGAGCCTTCTGAATCCAAAACCCAATATGCCTGAAATCAATGTCTCCCATCAGGCGACCGATATTAACTTCAGAGAGACCCCCTTCTGCGTTATCTGGCCCGCCTTAATGGGATCTTATCTTGTGTTCTCTGCTTACCAATTTCTGCTGTGCGGATTGAGACTAATGTGCCTCCCAAATCTTACCATTTTTAGACCCTGATTTCCATCTGCACGTGGGCGGACTGCTAAACCCCATCCCAGGTAAGCTCTTCAGAATTTGCGTTCGATCCTTTTTGAAGAGCTCCTCTGTGCTCAGAAGCTTACCGGAGGCAATCTCTGCGTCTGACATGAATGCTGAACGCCCAAATGTACCTTGACAAGCACACAATTGTAAATGAATTGAACGCATGTACATACACACACATTTAAACACATGAAGGAACACACTGTTTCTTTTTTCCTCACTGTCTCTCTTACCTTTGTTCCTCTGTCTTCTTATTGTCTTTGTCCTAATCCGCTGTGCTCACTTCAATTCCACCTTAAATCTTCTTTAAATAAAACCCTTTATCTGTCTCCCTGCCTCCTCTTCCCATCGAACCCTTTTCTTTTTGCTCTTCCTCCTCTCTTTCTCCACTTTTTATTCTATCTTCTCATGTGCCCCTATTTGACCTTTCCTGTCTTCTCCTTCGTCTTTCCTCCCCCCTCCACATTTCCTCTGTCTCTGTACAGACTGTCAGTTTGAAATTGGTGGATGGGATGGGATTATTCGCTCCAGTCAGGTGGAGGAGGAGGAGAAAGTGAAGCCTGGTGACGCTCTGGACTGTATCTGGACCATCAGGGCTCCTCCTCAGTCCAAGGTCAGTACAAAGGGAACACATTAGTTCTCATTGCTTCTATTTGATCCCTTAACCTATTGTTGGTTCTTTCCAAACTCTCCATTTTAACATAGTTTGTATGCAAATGTTCAGGTTCATATTTGGTTTTATTTGTGTCTTTACTGGGACATGTCTCCATGCTTTAATGTTCAAAAAGCTCTTTATTTGTATCATACTGCCTGTGCTGCACCACCTCTTTTCCCCCTCTGTCTGAAACCAGAGCCCAGTCTGCTCTGATTGGTTGACTGGCAGGCTCTAATGTGATTGGTCAACCACTAAAAGATGTCCCGTCCCTTAGCCAATCGTGTGTGTGTGTGTGTGTGTGTGTGTGTGTGTGTGTGTGTGTGTGTGTGTGTGTGTGTGTGTGTGTGTGTGTGTGTGTGTGTGTGTGTGTGTGTGTGTGTGTGTGTGTGTGTGTGTGTGTGTGTGTGTGTTAGTCACACTCGATTTCGCCGATTTTCTTGTTGCCCCAGCTGGTCGACACATCTTTTAGCAGAAAAAAAGGCTACATTAATGTATTAAATCAATGTTAATCCATGCGTATGGATGGGGAATTAATGGACGTGCCGTTGTGCGATTGCGTTGCCAGGTAACGCAAAAATTGATGTACTTATATGATTCTGTTTTCTTCAAGTTTGTATCTTGTTGGTCGAACGCACTTATTGTAAGTCGCTTTGGATAAAAGCGTCAGCTAAATGTAATGTAATAATTTACAAACTCTTCAACTACAACCCTAATTATATTTAAAAACATTTTAGAAAGCCTCACGAAATACTTTAATGTAAATTTAAATTTAAATGTGAAGGTATGTGTGTAATGTGGTGATTGACATTATCAACCCACGGATCTATGGGTTGGGGTATTGTTCCGCACGGACATTTTAGTTAACCGGACTTCCTGTTGATGTGAAATCCGAAAACATTTTTTAAAAATAAAATAATACTTTATTCCGAGTTTGCTTGCTTTTTTCTTTGGAGGTCATCACATAACGGCATTGTAATACACGGTTCGGCTGCATTAAATATTACATATCTGACGTAGTTCGCTATTTATAGAGCCCTGATGAGAAGACTTCTAGACAAACAGGAACAACTGCCGACGAAACTGAATATGTGACGTGGATCATAAATATATCAATTAAACAAAATCTTAAATATCTCTTCACAATATAAGTCTCCTTGCAGTATCAATACTAATTTGGCTTTTATACTTGATCCAATCGGTATATTGGTATATTTACACCATAACGGCGCACAGCTGATAGAAAGGGACATCTGGTGGTTAAAGCACATTATTGAAATGTATTATTTTTATTATTAGATATTAATAGGAGACACAGACAGACCAACTAATAAGGCTTTATTTAAATATTAAAGAATAATTTAGGTTAAGGTCTTATTTTGAATAAGAAAAAAGCTTTGGGGGTATAAATATTAAGCCTGACAAAGTACTAATATATTGCTTTCCTGCAATGTTAACTACTGTATGTTTAAGCACTTACTTTAACTGATATTATACACATGTATTATACTCTTATAAGATGTATGTAGATAGTATAAGAAATGTGCAGAATACAACTGATTAATGGTGGAGGTATAAACATATTGATAGATGTCTTGTAATCCACTGTTGAGGAACCGCGGACCCAAGTTTTTCATCTCCGACCTCGTCAGGTATTGAACATTCAATACATAAAGAACACAGAATTATTAAATATAAAACACAGAATTTCTGTGATTATACTAAATTATTTACAAATAAACACCACTGCATATGTACAACTTTTACACATGCTGATGTAACGCAAATGTTTCCAACTTGGTATCAATAAAGTACATCTTATCTTAAGATGATCGATGGCTACTGCCATATTTGCAAAATTTGCCTCTGAATCTTGACAAGTGCATGTTTAAGGCTTATTAATTAACAACAGGAGGGGTCACAGACATAAAACCAGCTGTTAAATAAAGCTCTTCTGACCTTCGCTGTTATGTGGGTATATAATAATGCTACCCATTATGGGCACAAGCCATTTTCACCCATTTATTAATTATATGTTTTAAATTTGAGTGTTTCCTATACCCTAATGTACACAGTTTAATACTGGCAACTTCTTATTATGGGTAATACGAAAACGTCTTTTAAAACAAAAATTCCCAGTAGAGACGTGCCATAGAACATGTTGCGAAACACACAATAGCCATCATGTGTAGTTCTGGGGACGGGGTGGACCCGTTCAAATCCAGTTTTGGACAGTCTGCCGTGGTTCCATCCCATTTCAAAGTGTTGTTCGACGCTCGGCGTAACCCTCGGCGCACACTCAAACATCCAATCACAGAGCTTGAGGACTATCACTGGGTTTGTCAAGCGAAGCGGAGAGAATACTTACTTACGGGTGTAAAATTCTCTAAAGCAACTACTATGAGCTGCTCCGACCCTCGGTCCTGACGGACTCCAACTTGTGTTTATTAATCAAACAAATAAATAAGCAATAGGATAATTATGTGTTATTGTTGAGTAAATAACAGTGTGTGGTTTAGAAAAGAATACAAAATTAGAAGGAAAAAACGATGAAACAATACAGATTTCAGTATTCTGAGCCCCTATTCTGAAGCATGCCGTCTATCCTAGGAAAGATATGAACAGTCATCCAAAATAAGAAATCTGATGAGAAATAGTTGAAGGCTTGTAAACAGAGATAAATTAGGGGTGATGTTCTGAATGTAAAAAAGAACCACTCAGAAAATCTAAATAGCAGGGTAGTAAGCTTTTAGTATCAACATAAAATCTCCCTTTATACTGTTTTGTCTTGTGTACTGTCACAGCAAAGGTGATGTCAGTGCATGTTTCTGTGAAGAATTCCAGTAACAATGAATGTGTTTGTTAGGGGTTTTCCTGAATGACATATTTTGTAGGAATATAAATAGCATATAGTTGTGTTCTCGTTGAGAAAATATATTCTGGTGGTCATGTCTGTACTGTGGATGTAATTTAATACACAATGGGTAGTGCTAATACACAGAGAGGTTGACACATTTATAAAATACAGCCCTGAAGATGTATTAACAAATCAAGAGTGAAAGCCCGGTAATGTGTGCTCTCATAGGTTCTGATATTTATGAGTGGATATCCTAAACGCCACTGAAGTTCCAAACATACCCTGCCTAGCCTTGATTCAATGCCGCTCTGCTTCCACCTCACGGCTAAATGAGTCATCAGCACGCTCCTGTGCTTCCGCCTCGCCATCAACACACACATTCATGCACATCACATTAAGTATAAAACAGCAGCTGACACAAACCGTCACAAATTACATAATATACTGTCACATTGGGTATTGTTAGCAATTACACAGTATACACTCATATGTTTAAAAAGTCATATGCATACACACGTAAACATTCATGCATGAAGCTCTGCCTATATCTCTCTCACACACACATTATCTTGTCATTTCACTGGTCAGACATGTGCAGTGAGAGGCAGCAGTGAAGAGGGTCTGAATTTAGCTACAGCCTTGAGTCGCCGCGCCAGATATTAGCTCGACCAAGCAGAAGGAGCAAAGCAGCAGACTCAGCAGCAGCAGCAGAGCAGCCTCTTATGCTGCGTGGTTACAGGTGCCTGTGGGCTGAATGTGCTGAAGTTTAATCTAAAGTTTTCAACCTGCGGCCAAATTCTCATCACGTAATTACCGCTGAGTTAGTCAAACAATTCAAAGACATTATTTTCTCATTACTTGGCAGGATGAGATTCAACACTTAGGTGCCAACGCTGCTGTGAGGACAGGTGGCTGGACAAAACACAGGCTGTTTAGGCAAATTTAACAGAGCTTCGAATCACAGTAGGAAAAGAACAGCTGTAAAAGAAGAGTCAATATCAACATTTCATGGCTTTCTGGGACACAACAGATCAGAGTAGGGATATGAGGAAAACATATGACGACGTTGGAAATTATAATAAAGATATTACTTGCAATAAACAATGCAGTGTTGTAGTCAAGTCACCAATTCACAAGTCCAAGTCACTCTGGAGTCACCACTCTTCGAGTCCGAGTCCAAGTCATCGTAAGCGAGAATTCACGAGTCCAAGTCATCGTGCGTGAGAATTCACGAGTCCGAGTCGCGTCAATCATGCGCGAGACGGAGTTGAGTCATGAGTCCCAAAAATCGGCACTCGAGTCCTCCATCTCTGAAACAATGCAATATTATACTGCCTTTCGGCTGCTTTCAGTATAGAGTGGTGCAGGAATGAGTTCCAAACCCTGGAAATGAGTTTAAGCATTTCCGGGCTCCCTCTTCTCAAAATCAATGATCTTTTCAAATGATTGTAATAATGTCTGTGGTAACCACAAGAATTTCCCCTTTTGTTCTTTGACATAAAATATGTCAGTGAATACCAAATTGTTGAAAGTCTGAAAAACAGCGGTTCCTAACAAATCGCCAAATGAGACTGCTAAATGTCAAAACTCCGAGCATTAGCCACGTATGTGATCGTTTAGACCTTAATGTATGCAACATTCCAAACCCTAATGGAAATATCACATTGCTTCAAAAAAAACATATGATTGTGTAGAAAAATCACAATAATTATTATACTTAACAAGCGATATGAAGAGTTCTCAACTCTGACTTTCTGCTACTGTCAGTACACGTCTTAAATACAACAGTTTCTCCAAGTGAGCACATAGAGCTTGCTCAGTCCCTGCGGCTTTCTCTAAATTGAGACACATCCCAGAGAAAAGAGGAGACTGAGGTAGACGTAACAGACCACGACAGATATTTTTAGACTGACTTTTCTCAGGAGCCAGTTATTAGTGTATAAATTAAGCATGCTTGCATCACAAGTTATAAAAGATGTAAATTATTTGATTTTAGTGTCCATCAATACATCTGTGGTCGGTCTTATTTGTGGTTTACCCTGTCCCTATCCAAGCATGCTCTAGTGAAGACAGGCAGATCGCCAATTTATCAAAGGGGTTCTACTCTGATCTTTTCCTTTCTATTCATTACTGGTGCCTGGATGTTTTAAATCTATTTGCTTTCCTGATTTAATGCAGTGCCATATTTCCCATGTATTTGCCTTCATTAAGAGTGCAGTTGCTGAATGTCATCAGACAGCTGTGCCATTTATCTAAGTCTTACCGGGAGTTATGCCCTTCATTTAATTTGCTCCTCCTGTCTGTTTGCAGATCTACCTGCGCTTCATGGAGTACCAGATGGAACACTCCAATGAGTGCAAGAAGAACTTTGTGGCTGTGTACGATGGCAGCAGCGCCATCGAAAACCTCAAGGCCAAGTTCTGCAGCACCGTGGCCAACGATGTGATGCTAGATAACGGAGTGGGAGTCGTGCGAATGTGGGCTGACGAGACGAGCAGACTGAGCCGATTCCGCATGCTCTTCACCTCATTCGTTGACCGTGAGTACAACATACCTCAGCATTGGCCGTACTGGCAATATATTTTCTATTCACACACTTTAAATGTTAAACGCTTTTTGCTATTACTTAGAAGTTCATTGCCTTCTCTTTGTGGCTCTCGAATAAGTGGTGCAGGGATGACTTATTTTTGTAGGCTGACCCCGGTAGAAAGCGTCGCAAATTGTCCATCAATGAAAGCCAATGGGATTGTTCCTTTGGATTTTGGAATATTGTAGAAAAAAGATCTGAGTCACACCAAAGTTAAAGCACATTTTGTTCAGCAGGGTATTTTCCACACCAACACCGCTATGCTAAAGGCAGCTAATGTTCGGCATGATGACGTTTAGTATAGTCTCATTTAGCCTCTAGATATTTACTGACGTATTTCATGTCCTAGATCAAAACAGGAACATCTCCAAATCTAAAACCATTGACCGAAGACAAGGGAACCTGGAAGTGCGCAAAAGCTAACTCAGTTCCATGTATAGGTCTCATTCCTGCACCACAGCTATCTCTTCACTTATTACAACAGGGTGGGCTTCATTACTATGGGATTAGTTTTGTATCATAAAAATAAAGCAACACTTTCTCAGAATAAAGCAAAACTAGGAGTTTAAAAGAAAAAAAACTGAGTCAAGCAAAATAATAATTGTTTTAACATAGGTTTTTTTTTGCAGCTCTTGTTTCTTCTTTCTCAATGATCAGACTTTTGCTCTCGCTGCAGCTCTTCTCATTTACGCTCCCTCATTTTTTGTTTTCAATTTTGACACAAACGTCCCAGGTGGGCGGGACTTTCAGGGGTGTGTCCCCATTGGCTACTCAGTTTTTGAGTGACAGCCCACTACATCACAGATCATACAGTGCAACTCATGCAGCAAACTCCGGAGTCCACTCGTCCACGTTAGTGTTGGTGTCTCCTGGGGAGTTTCATGAACGTATCGGACTTATCTTATTGCTGTGCATTATACTTGTGTTGTGTAGTTTAGACTTTATTCCAACTTTAAATATTTTAATACCTGAACACACTGCTGCTGTTAAATAATTTCCCAATTTGGGATTGATAAAATGTCTGTCTATTTATTTTATAGATTAAAAAAACACATCTATGTATTTTCAAGCTAAAGGTGATACACACTGTATTTTTTCAAAGACATGTTGCATTTCAAAAGCATATATTGCTATGTTTAGGACAAACAATTAAAGACTGCTTTAATTTAACGAATTCTAATAAGTGGCAGATTTGCTTTATTAAACAGACCAGGCCTATGTTGCATACCAACACAATTAGGAACATGCTCACATCTTACTACACTGAACAGCAATATAAATGCAACACTTTTGTTTTTGCTCCCATTTTTCATGAGATGAACTGAAAGATCTAAAACATTTTCTATATACACAAAATAACAATTTCTCTCAAATATTGTTCACAAATCTNGGAGAACTGAATATGTGCCGTGGATCATAATATATCGCAATCAAACACAAAATCTTCAGATTTCTCTTCAACAATATACTTCCTGCGCAGTATCACTACTGAATTCGGCTGACTTTATATTAATCCAATCGGTATATTAGCACCATAGACGGTGCCAGCTGATAGAAAGGGACACCGGGATGGTTAAAAGCACGTATTCTGAAATGGATTATGTATTATTATCCATTATTAATAGGAACACAGACAGACAAACTAAATAGGCTTTATTTAAACAGTTAAAAAAAATACTTTAGGGGTTACAGGGGTCTTATTTTCATAAGAAAAAGCTTTGGGGGTATAAATATAAGCCTGGAACAAAAAGTACTAAATTAATTGCTTTCCAAGTAAATTTTTAGAAAAAGTATTGATTAAGGTTTAAGAGTAAAATGATAAGAATAGAATGTTTAAATATATATTGAATTTAACAATGTCAACCTCTGGTTATGGGATATCCGGAACCCATTGGGTGAAAGGAAAGGCGGGAAAAGGATTACGCCACAGCCCATTGGGGAAGAGAGAGCCAAATGAGATATATAGAGATGTGAAGGAGCTTTGTGGGGTCCCTCTTCTTCACAGCCCGCCTTTGGAAGAGGTAGGAGCCAAATGAGATCTATAGAGGATGAGGAGCTTTGGTGGGGGTCTTCTTCAACGGCGGCATTTGATAATGCTCTTTTCTAATCTCCCCACCTGAACAATATTCTGCTTGTTAGACCCTCCAGGAAAAACGTGATTCTGCGATCGCAGAATTTACCGGCATAATCAGCAAAATGGCCGCCAGATTTTTAAAAAATGCCGCATATTTACAAAAAGGCGGCATAATCCGATTTTTCCACACAAATTGAGAAAAAAAAAGTTAAACTCGCCTTTGACCGTCCATCCACTCGCCCGCCATCACAGAATGTAAACAACAACTGTATAGATGTGAACGTGTGACTTAGGAAAACACCAAGGATGAAAAAAATCTAATCCATCCTCATTTACCCGACCGAACATTTCTACTAAAGACGCTGGGCCAAAAAAGTGGGGGGAACTATTCTGACCCCTCGTGCAACTGTAATTTGGAAGCATAAGAGCAAAATCGACGGGTACGACCCTTTTTAATTCATTCAAAATTCCGAAAATGCCTTTTCCTGTCCTGGCTGCCTGCGACAAAGCACAATCGAACTCAGAGCTCAACCTCCAAAAACTAGGCTCAAGAAACGAAAGTGAAGTGCATAACAAAAGAATCTTCCGGAAGGCGCCGGATAACGAACGAGTAATAAAAAATAGAAATGGGCCCGGAGAAGTGTTGTGTTGCGGTGTGTGTGTGTGTTGTGGTTGTGTCGGCTGTGTGTGTGGTGTGTGTTGTATTTAAACATGCCAAATTATTTTATCCAATAAATAAACCATTGAATGTGTTTAATTGAAAGGAAAGGGTTTTTAATACGTTGTGGCCAAGTTTGCTGTAGAAGGAAAATAAGACACTCAAATATTAAAATTGTATTCTTCCCCCCGCACATTTAGCATATCTTCGCAACTTTTCGCATATTCTCGCAACTTCCCAAATTTCCACCCGATTAAAATCCACATAAAAGCCCGCTAATTTAATCGCATAATCAAGGATTTTTTGCCCGCGTTTTTCCTGGAGGGTCCTAGCTTGACACTACGCGCTTTTTTTAATTAAAGTATCCCATTTGAATCTTCTCAGAGACTCCATTTAGTCTCATTTTTAAAGCTTCTCTCCTGGACGCGAGAATAACGAACATAGTTAACACTATACAGTGTCCTGTCTCGCCACACAGGAACCTGGCGATTGTGCAGAACTCTGAAGTACTCCGCCCCACTCACTGTATCCAACTTCGTGGAATATGGGAGGGAGCGGACCTTATCATTGAATCTGACTCTTAAAAATCTGGTGCCGTCTGCGATTTCCGTGCCCGGCCACACACTTTTTTTTTAATGGCTGAGATGGGCTCAACCCCCCCCCACTCCTCAAGTCTCTTTAGTATCACCCTATCAGGTATATATATCGGCAGCTTTAGGAACAAGACCACACACTTTTTTTTGTATGTCTTTTTAGTAAATCCATCATTGAGACTGCGCTCCCTCCGTCCACAATCACCTCCACAGTTAGTTCCACACCGTACCCCTCTCTCTCCTTCTTTGCTTCCTCCTCTCCCGTTTTCTTGTTTTGTCCTTGTTCTTTATCTTCGTCGGTACACTTTCGTGGTTCGTTATCATTCTTTCCGTCCGTTTTGTAACTCGCTTTTCCGTTGATCCATGATCCGTGTCGCACAGGGGCGGACTGGGAGTAAAAATCAGCCAGGGACTCTTGACCGGCCCACTTCGGTACCGCAAATAAATTGTCAACGCAGGGGGGGCTATTGACTTATCCGACCGGCCCACATCGCCAGACCAGCCTTCTTCAGTGCCGGCCCATCGTTCCCGATGGCCAGTCCGCCACTGGTGTCGCAGTAGTCCTGTCCATTCCAGGTGTAGTTGCCGTTAAATCTATCGAGGCAAAAAAACACAGTACAGGGGAAGCCCCCCCAGACAGGCAAAAAGCGTTTGGGGGGGGGGGGCGGGGGGGACTACGTTAAAAAAAATGAAACTTTCAAAAAAACAACGAAGATACACGTGGAACCAAACACCTTCTACTCTCACCTATGTTAACCTCTTTGCCTCCGTAAAGACTGCCACTCAATTGAGCCCTAAATTAACCGACCCTGTGCCTGCTCTTCCCTCTATCCCCTCAATAATGCCAGTACCTCTGCTCGCCCTCCGCACTGCCCCCACAGTGGGAAGCTGCTCGTTTAATACAGGGTGAGAAGTGTATTTACTCACATTATTTGAGTGGGACATATCGGCAAACCAACTTATTTATTAGCCATTATTTCTCCGAAGATGCTTATGTCACAACACCCATTACGAAGTTTGTCCCAGTCGCCTCCTTGCAACCTTGTGAATACCAGAAATTGTTTCCCTCTGCCATCCCGCAGGACCCTGCATCCGGAGGGGACACCGGCCCGCTGCTGGTGCGCGGTGGCAGTGGAGCGACTACCCCGCGGAACCAAACATTCTAAATGCAAATGATTTTGTAATAAAGTTAGTGATTTATTTTCTAAAATGAGATTATTCTTTACATACCAAGCCCAGCTATAACACAAACCTTGAATGCCATTTTGGTTTACCTCTAAATTTCAACCCATCCGGTTATATACAGAGCCCCTCCTCAAGTCCTCACGGCCCTCTTGGCGCCACACCCTTGTATTTCCACTGCAGAGATTTCCCCCAGAGATTTCCTTTCCTAGGGTACCGCCCACCCAAGTTGCCGCCCGCACCCACACTCCTTGTTTCAGACCCTGCACTCCACTAGCAACACCGGGTTGAAACAGTCCGCGATACAAGGGCTTCACTGGATTGAGGGGAGCCCAGAAGTTGAGTACCAAAAACAAACACCGGCTGCCCAAAAATCTCAAGTCTGAACCCTCCTGTTCAAAAACTGAAGGCCTGGTATCATAAATGTGTTACCTGTCATCCGGTGCCCCCTTGCTTCCGGTCCACCACTCCCAATCCAGCGAAGGGATTTTACCCGATTATACGCCCAGCCCTTTTCTCCCAATGGGGGTGCCCTCCCGTGCCACTTTCCCTCCCCCTGTCACCATCAACCCACTATGCTGTGTGAAGGCAATGCCGTTTTTTTGGGCCCTCCACTTTCCTAGGATCCTCTGACCACTTCTTTTTTTCAGCGCACAGTCCCGACCCCGGTGCTGAATGCCAGGTTGGACTGCATTTGGCCAAAGAAGAATTGTTACCAATGTGAGGGTGAAATAAAACCTCACCGTGGAGAGAAGCAAATTTTCCTTGCAAAAAAATAAAAGCGTGCGTTTATTTAGACTTCTCCCGGCATTAATTCCAAAAAAAACCAACTGCCAGCCCTGGTGCTGCCTCAGGGAAGGCTCGGGACGGAGACCCCGGCCAACCCAAGTGGCCCGGAGGGGGGGCAAAATAATTC